CAAGTCAATAGAAAATGGTCAATACATATGTAAAGATGGTTACCAGGAGACGCAATTATATCACTCATGAAGAAATTTAAATCATTTCACTTTATGTGTAAATGTAATTCCATTATGGGTAAATTTTTATTTTGATAGAGTCTCACAGTTTTATACAGTAATATTTACTGATGACGTTTCGAGCACAATTTATTGCTCATAATCATATCACCTTGATATGATTTGAGCAATAGCCAAATATTGCGCTGAAAGGGAATGTTGTCCAGAAGGATGATGAAAGCTCCGCAACTAAACCAACCAGCTCAGAGAAAACTATTAATTTCAAATCATCCACCTGAGCTACAAATCTTCTCTAGTATATAGTGTTATTGCATTTATACTTGGTTTCACATATTATTATATCTGAATAATTTGGACTCCAAAGGAAACTATGGTGAAATTTTACCTCGCTGAACTGTGTAGATTACAAATTAAATTGCTAATTGAGAATTTGATTTAAACCTGACAGTGATTTATTTGGCCTCCATAAGGACTGTAACTGGTATATTCGTCGGTCATTATATCGTCGTCAATGTCATGTGACCAGTCTTTCAATGTAGGTACTAACTGATAGACTTCGATATCAGTCTAACACACTGTGATTTCCCTTTATTTGTCCTCGTCTTCATCATTCAGTGGCTAAGGATTAAACTAGCTCAAGACGTTTGCAAGATAAACTCTTACTGCAGATTCTAAATAGTGTGAGCGTTCCATAGATCTCCATAAATACGTCATGAACCAGTCCTCCGTGAATGCCTGTTGTCTGAAAGTCACAGTAAAATAAAACAAGGGCGATAATGTTTTCTCAGACTAGTAGTATTGTAACAACAGAAGACAAGGACCAGTCAACAGATCGTTTATTAATGAAAATCAACACATATTTATAGATTTTGATGTACATTATTGTAGATTATTGTTAGTAGAAAACACAGTCTTTTGATTGGTTGTTTCTCACAGAAAGTTAACCTTGCATCTCTTTGTGGCTGTGTCAGATCATTCATATGCTAACTGTATCCGCCTACGCAAAGCCTTTGTTCTCATTTTCTCACCATCAATATTGGGGACATAAACATTGACGTCAATTACTGTCTACCAACTTTGGCTAGCAGCCAGTTCTCATCACAGTATATATTTACCTACCATTACCTACCGTGCGTCGGTTGCATAGCGGTAAGGATGCTCGCTGACCATGCACATGGTCCGGGGTTCGATCCCCGGCCGGTGCACTCCTTTACCTTGCTAAGTCAGAACTAAAGCTGGTGAAGAGGAAAGGTAGAGCTTGAGGCTAGCAACCTCATCCTGTAAAAATAAACTCTGCTACAGAAACTTCAGGCCTCTAGCTTGAAGTCCTTTGTTCCACTGGGGAACGTGAAGGAATAAAAAATACCCATTCGAATGAAGCTCCTCATAAAGAACGAATAAATTTTTAAGTGCTGTTTTGCTGGGATTTGATTGGTTTCAGGATTTCCTAATGAAGTGACATCGTTTAAAGGACTATTGGAAAACCTTGGAGTACTGGACAACTGTTTCTTCCTGATTTGGAATTCTTCATCAGCACGCACCCGTCGGGATTCGAACCCAGGACTATCCTGGTTACAAGACGAGTTTGTAGACCATTAAGCCATTGGGATCCTATCCAATGGGCAGCCCATGAATTGCATTTTCTGCTAGTTCACGATATGACGTGACCACTAGCGAATGTCATCCATGGCGAGTATTTGTCCTAAACACCCGACCCGCTGTATCCCACTGGTCACGACTTCCTACTAGAATCCAGGCAACTACCTACCTGAACAGGGCCAGTCACTAGTGAGCATCACATTGACATTCAAGTGTTGGTTTGCATGGGATTTGATTTATTAGGGTGATGATAAGTTAGTGGTGATTGCATACTCACGAAGTCGCATGTGCGAAGTCGCTTGATTTTCATATTAGCCTTAATTTTTGATTATATATGAATTCTACTCACTGTGTTACATCATCATCCTTCTATTCAGCTTCATGCACACAAAATTCTGGTTTTCCAATCCTATGAGTTGTAGTCACTGTAATGTATAGTCCCTGACCATGTGACTGTCACTGACTTATCACCACCCTAGTAACAAAACTTTTCATTTTTACCAGAAACTTTGCTCTTATAAATATAATACTAATTATTAGAGAAAAATATATTCTTATTATTTCCTTTCACCACAACTTTTTTACAACACTCCTTACTGGAGGACTGATTCATGATAACAAACAAAGTGTATGTTAAAATTTTACTAATAACTGACTTTAATAAATTTCATAGGTTGTAAGCAGCCGACGAGAAGTAATGAAATAAAGTGAATCCGTATTATACTGCACCGATATTTAATTCTTTGTACAGGTTCAGTAAACTGAGGTTTCGTAATGTGATAAAATAAATTAAATTAGCGAAAACCGTATCTTTCCATGATTTATAATTTAGCGTAGTAAACACTGAGACTTGAAGTTTTACCTCCAAGTGTATATTTCTGGTTTACAGAGAGATATTGTAGCCTAATTCCCGGTGTCTGTTGCCTTATCAGCGTCTAGTACGGAGGCTTCATTTGAAACGGTGCTTACAAGGTTCACTTCTCAGTGAGAACACCACCATTTACCGGGTACTGTGAGTACATCCTGGTGATCAGTCCCGAATAAATCAAAATTTGCATCCTGGATTCCACTGATAGTCACCATCAACCGAAATAATTTGAAGCTAGTTAACAGTTATTCAATTTCTTTGAACTATGAATATGATATTTCACGATTTAAAAAAAACCTGGGAGTACTGGACATCCGTTTCGTCCTAGTTTGAGACTCTTCATCAGTACGCACTCACCGTCCCAAACTAGGACGAAACAGCTGTCTAGTACTCCCAGGTTTTCCAGTGGTTCTCTAACTGATGTCAGCTCATGATGAAATCCTCCATGCAATCAAACAAAATCCCTACAAAACCAATACTTGAAAATTAAAAAAAAATTGAAACCATCAGTTAGTTTTGTCGAGTTGCCATTCCACATAATCCTGGTGTCTTTTTTTAAATTTTTGTCATTAGTTGATAAGAATGGAAAAGAGGTTAACAGTGAAACGTCATGCAATATTCACATTTATCTACATATTTATATGCTATAAGCAAATAATCACTAGTGCTAACTCATGCTTAATTAATGGAAACGCAGTGAAGGATTTAAGTGTCCCTTTTACTGCATCTCTATTTCTTGATTTCACTCACTAGCTTTTCCTTATTTATAGCATTATTGATCCTGAATATTCTGTTAGCTGATCTCATGAAATCACCAGATTCCATAGACCACCAAAACTTGGAATTTAAAGCAATTAGTTCCCTTTATGAATTTCGACAACACAATAAGAAGACGTAGTTTATCTGAAACGTGTAATGTATTTGTTCAACACATTTCTGACATTCTGATCACATACCTACTTGTCATACAGTCTTATAGAAGGCTAGATGGCACGAATAATTACAATACAGGTCAGGTTGTGTACAGGTCAAGGTCACAAATAATGGGTAGGGAGATAACGCAAAGTTGTGGGTAAGAAAGAAAAAAAGAAAAAACAAAGTAAAGAAGGGGTTGAAAATATTATGAAATAAATTGATCCTTGGTTCTAAATTGGATTACCAAGGCAGGTTTAAAGTAATAACAAATAACTTTTGGACACATAAGACAGGTTTAAGTCTTTTTACGGCCAAGGCTTCAACTAATTGTAGTATGTGACCCAACCTTGTTTTATATATGGACTTAAAGGCATTGTTGAAATCAACCTTATGACCCGTTTCTATAATGTGCTTCGCTATAGCGGTACACACCCATGGCCCCCGTATGGATTGATAGGCGGCTGGAATCCGTCCCAGTGGTCAACGAGCACACCCTGTAGCCTCTAGGTCCTAGGTTCGATCCCTAGGGGGGTCATGGGTGTGTACTGATGAAGAGTCCCAAACAAGGGAGAAATAGATGTTCATCACTTCAGTGGTTTTCTAACTACAAAGGCAGTTAGTGATCAAACTTGAGATTTCGAATTCAGTGATTTTATCGTTTATAAACTAATTAGCCTACTATGTAGGGAAAATAGCATATTTTATCTTTGAATACCGTTCTGACATCATGAATATTCTCGTTCATGTTTTAATTAGTGAGCGATGTTGTTTTTCTCCTCACTTATAAGTGACACTACTTTAGATAGTCAGTCGGTGAATGAAGTGGTTTTATCAGTAATAATAATAATAATAACAGCTTTATTCTGAAAAATACATCCATACACATTACGGAATTCTCAACATGTTCTTTTATGTAATATCTGCTCCGTGTGTAGAATCTTCAAGTTAATTAACAATCGATTATGTACCATTTGAAGCATTACTGTCCAACTGCTGGCCAGCCATGAACATAGTCCGTGGTTCGAGTCCCGACCGGCTAACACCTTTACCTCCCTTAACCGGTTATAATCCCGACAAAGAGGGAAGAATGGGCGTGCGGCTAGCAACTCCACCCTGTAAAAAACACCACTGCCACTGAAACTTCAAAGCTGTAGCTTGAAGCCCAATATGTTCCACTCGGAACACCAAGGAATAAAAAACTGTCCTATTGAAAAGTACACTACAATAACCTACAGTGTTTTCCCTCTGCGTCATTCATAAGATCTTTATTAGTAAGCTGTAACCTATTTGAAATAACCTATTTGAAAATGCACGTAAGTGCAGACTGCTTACTCAAGGCTGTAACTGGATAATAAAAAAAGTTGAATTAAGGAAGAAAATAGAGCGACTAAGCAACATTTTGGTAGACAACAAACCAAACCTACTTAGCATTTGTACAATTTCGCTGAATCGACAAGGCATCAGAGTAGTGACATGACGATGAAAGATTCCAATCTTGAAAAGATCAAATCTTGATTTGTCAAATAAGTAAAAGAGATTTTGTTGTTGTTTATTTTAGCTTTAATTTCGACGAAGGACGACCTACACAAAATTTCGACACATTTGTTAAAGCATTGTTAACTGTATTTCAAGTGAGTTGGATAATTGTTTAACTTTTTGTTCATTTGTTCATTTTAGTTTTCACCAAAGAATTATAGCTGCATTAATGAAACTATTAAGAGTGAAGAGTGATTGTGCCTAGATGAAAATTTTATCATATTACAGACGATTACATACGGATAGGTTACAGGATTTCATCATGAGCTGACATTGGTTAGAGAACCATTGGAAAACCTGGTAGTACTGGACAACTGTTTCGTCCTAGTTTGGGACTCTTCATCAGTACGCACCCACCGACGTTCGAACCCAGGACCTTCTGGTTACAAGGCGAGCTCGTAGACCATTAAGTCATTGGGATCCGATCCAATGGCCCGTGAATTCTAACTTCTGCCAATTCACGATATAGCGAAACCGCTAGCCAATGTCTTCGGTGAGTATTTGTCCTCACACCTGACCTGCTGCACCCTACTGGTCACGACATACGGATAGGTTGGTTATGTCACAGATCAGATGTGATTGGCCAATGAACTGCTTACACATAAAAGCCTTAATATATATTGCGGTCAGTCTAGTTTTAGTTAGTATCGGTCAGGAGTAGAAGTTTCCTCCTGTTTGTGACTGACTGAACTGTTTGTGAAATGCACGTTCAAATAAAAATTGAACGCTACTCTAAACGCCAACCATTTCACTGTATGGTCAGTCTTAAAAACTGCTGTACCCTACTGGTCACGGCTTAGAATTCAGTCTGCACCAAATGAAGGACTGGGCACGTGACATTATTTAGTACCTAGTGCCAGATCAAAGTATTTGAAAATTTACAGGTTCAGTGCTTATTTTGGCCAAATACCTGATTGAGTTATTACCCATTTAATGGAATAAGGTCGGTGTTGTAAGCTTACTCACGCTACATAATTAATTCCTTTAACTTATGGAAGAACAGAGTGGACAAGGCAAATGAGCATCTGAAACAGACATCTAGTTTTAAATTACCGATTCAGGTTTGAAAATTTGCAGATATATTCGTTCTGTTGGTAGTGTTTTCAGGAATAATAAATGATGCATATGTATTACCTGTTTTAATACATTATGGGCACCGAGAGACGAGTCACACAAAATCTCATAGTTTTTGCAAGAGATGAGATACTCCTGGAGCACTCAGATCGAAGCAGATGGTTGTGTTAAGGCGCCATACCCTGCTCCGAGTCTGTGACTTGAAGTCTGATACACAGAACAGTAGAGCAGCTTCAAGAACTCAGTTCTTGTGGGTTTCAGCAAATAGAACAAGTTCATATGCCATTCAGTCCTTTCATATTCTAAAGCGCACGTACACCATCGGTTTGCAATCAGAGATTTTCATCTCCCCCAGGTAAACCTAGATGTCCACCAGTTCAGTTGTTAGCACCAGAAGTTCATATTCGCCCTTTAACTTTTCTTAGAAAAACACCCACAGCTTGATGGTAGTGAATAAGGCATATCTGATGGAGGCTATGAACGTGTGGTCATTTTGAGAGGAAAACCGAATTCTATCCATCCTAGGCTGTGCCAGATCGTTTACGGAAGTAAACGCATATTTGGAAAATGAAACTAGAGGCTTGAAGTTCCGGTAGCAATGGTGTTTATTTTTACAGGATGGGATTGCTAGCCTTATGCCAAACCTTCCCTCCATACCAGTCTTATTACTGGTTTGGCGAGGTAAAGGAGTGCGTAGGTGGCAGGGGATAGAACACCGAAACACATGCGTGGCTGGCGAGCATTCTACCATTGTGCCACCGACGCACAAAAGCCTCAATTGATGCGTGTGGAGATGATGGCGATCGAACTTGAGACCTCTTGCATGTGAAGCAAGCGCTCTACTAAAGAAACTATTAAGTGATGTATACACCTGAGGTTTACTGGAGTGATATTTACAAAATTCTTATTCAGGGATAGTATTACAGTAACCTTTAATGACTGCCTCTAATTTCGCCTCCCAACAAGACGATACACTGACTGTTAACTCAGTCATCTGCCTTTCACATATACAATACTGAGTAGCATTATTTATAGAAATGTCATTATACACGTAAGTGTGCTAAATGTTTCAGGTGTCGATAATTTCTAATTACTGCCTTGAAATAAAAATGCATTCAACTTTACTGGTTGCATGTATATGCACATATATAACTGGTGTTCATTTCTTTTTACCCTTATTAACAGATTTTAACAGGTGAAGACTGGAATACAATCATGTATAATGGGATAAGAGCACAAGGTGGAGTTACTGGAGGCGGTGCAATTTACAGTGTCTACTTTGTATTAGTTATGCTTTTTGGAAACTGTATCCTTTCTTTGTGAATGAATTTCATAGGGGATAGTTGAATTTGCTTTGTTTTTGTCTCTTTTCAGGTGGGGGAGGGTGGTGGAGTTATTGTTTAGATAATAAACATTCTTTTTACCTTATAATTATTATTATTTTTTAAATAGCAGTTTCATGAATTTTTCACATCTCTCAGAAGTGGTTGTTTTTCACTTTTAAAACACAGATCATTGTCAAATTGGTGTTTTGATATTTCCATTTTTAGTCCTTTGAAGACATAACTTGATTTTATAAAATTTCATCCTTTGATAAAGTGTAAGAGACATCTGTACCTAGATGTCTCTTGCTAAATAAGCTCTCTTTGACAAAAACTGAGTCCTGGGTCACTAACTGGTTGCATTCCTACTTCTCTAACAGAATGCAGTACACCATATACAAAGGTAAATCCTCCTCTGCTGTGCTCACTGAAGCCGGTGTCCCCCAAGGTGCTGTACTCTACCCACTTCTCTTTTCTTTCTTTCTACATGACTTACCATCTTCAAATGACATTAATTTTGTCAAATATGCTGACGATCTGAGTGTATGTTTGCCTGTCAAATGTCAAAGTGACTGCTCTAAACTAAATGGCTTTCTATCAGAAATCAGCCAGTGGTTCAAGGAAAACGGTCTTACCTTAAACCCTTCCAAATGCCAAACAGTCAATTTCACCTTTAGGCATAAATCCGACCTAAACAAACTGGTTAGCTCTCACGAGGTGTGCAACATAGATGGCACTGAAATAGAAACCAAGTCGGAAATTAAATACCTAGGCGTCATTCTATCTGCTGATCTCTCCTGGTCGTCTCATATCTTGGCGATATCTAAGAAAATATTCCGTCTTACCTTCTACATCAAGAAGTTAAAACATTCTGGTATAACCCAACCCTTACTCCTACAATTCGTTAACTCTCGCATTCTGCCTATTATTCACTATTGTTCCCCCTTAGTTTTTCCAGGGCTACTGAAGAAAGACTATAACATATTACGCAGGATGTTAAAGGTTGTCAGCAGGGTAAGCAACGTGCCACTTAACCAGCTTGTTAATATTCTGGTTGACAGGCACATGGACTCATGTGAAAAATGGGCCAAATCCATTTTATCTAACTCACACCACCCTCTTCACTCACAACTCTCCCCTTGCATCTCATCAGGCAAAACCACAAGCCTATATAGAAAACTATATGCTCGCACTAGCAAGTACAAAATCTCAACCATACCCTACTTAGCTCGTGTTCTGTGAGATAAAGAAAGCATTAGGCGTGACACCTATAATTCATTAAATAGTCAGTAGAACAATTGGATCTCGTCTTTCCAACTCATATCATTTATAGGTACAACATTTTCTTTCTTTTCCTTTCTCTCTCTCTTTTTCTGTTATGTGCTGCTTTGTTTCTTTCTTCGGCTTACGCCAGTAAATATGATAGCACCTACTTTTCTAACACCTTCAAACACTGTTCAACTTTGGCTTTGTTACCGACATCCCAATATGTTGTTGTCATAATGAACTGAGATTTCTTTAATCTATGTAGAATTTTATTTATTGATAATGTACTAACTGGATGCAATACTGTAGTAAAAATGCTGAGAATTCCATTCTGTATCACAAGTACTGTTTTGGAATAAAGCAAATTATTATTATTATTATGAAGTAAGAAAAACAGTCGAAGGAAAATGATTTGACATAATTTTATCCCATTGTTTCTTTTTAACTACTTATCACATGAAACACTTTTTGGACAAAAAAGTAGGGAAATGGTTGTGCACACTGATTACAAGAGAAGTTATCAATTGGAAGGAAAGGCATTGAACAGACAGGAATGTGAGAAGTACTTTACAAAAGTTTAAGGTAAGTAGGGAAACAGTTTAAAGAAAAAACCACTAGATAGCTCACTCCTACGGTTTAACTTGGGAATTTTCAGTAGCTCAAACTAACTCAGTACTCCATGGAAGATCGAGACCAGTAAGCACTTTGTAAATTAGAAACTGTGTAATTTTTTTTATTATAGCTTGATTCCACACAGTATTTTTGGTACAAGTATGGAATTTTCAGCATGTGATATCGGTAGCCCAATTTTGCAGGCCGACCATAGATATCGGGTGTGCGCCGGCAGGGGATCGAACCCCGGACCATGTGCATGGTCAGCGAGAGTCCTAACCACTGTGCCACCGACGCAATAAGTAAGGTTTATGTGAGATTATAACAGTGATTTTTATTATCCGATAAAATATGAGGTGGCTGCATCTGTACTTTTAGTTGGAACCGTATTGTTCACCTATTTATACATATATATTCATACAACTACCATGCTTATAAACCTTAACCTTCTGACGTATAAAGATACCTTGTTGAATGTATTTCTTGCTATTGCGGTGGATAATTTGGCTAATGCACAAGAATTAACTGAAGCTGAAGAAGAACAGGCCAAATTACAAGAAGAGGTAAGAACCTATTTACTTTAAATATTCTCTTTATTTATTTATTTACTTTTAAAAATATCACACACTTCATGATTGTTTAATAACATTATAAGCTTCCTACTAAGCGCAAATTAAACTCGACAGTGAATCAACCAGATTAGTCTGAATACACATTATTCTCATCTAATCAAAAGTATTACTGATCCTGTAGAAAATGGAAGTCAGTAAGTGAGATTTATTTGTTCAGGATGACATCAATAAAAACCTCAGAAGACCTATTTTTTTCCATAATTTAAAACTGTGAGACAAGTAGACTTTGTTAGTCAGAATTAACGGACTGATTGAATTTCACCACTGAACTTTGCACAGAAGTGGAGTAGTTGAAGTTGTCACACTCCATTTAGGAAACAGATGTAGACAAAAAAGTGAGAAAAACAGAAATTTGAGAAAGAAGGATATGAACATGAAAAATCATGGAGGTTTAGTGAATATTGAAAATTAGAGAGACTGAATACATTAGCATCATTAAGGATGATTTTGAGCTACATCACCAATAGTCTACAGAAATTAATTCTTAACACTCCAAAAACCACAACCAGTCAGTCTGTACCTCGCTGCGTGGCTCAAAAAAACTGTTAAAATCTCCATGGATTGATGGCAGGTTCCAGTTTGACCACCCGCAACCCCTTTTGAACCTCATCATGTAACTGCTAGCACTGCTGGATGAAGAAGGCGACGGCTCGAAATGAGCAACACATGTCGTAGTCATCTCAATCGGTGTAACTTCACAATATCAACGACTTGACTTCCCTTCCTTATGTAGAACTCAGAGCCTAAACTCAATATTACGCGCCACATAATACCACCTAACTCACGGTCAAAAACAGCTAGCCTTTTCTTGTCTTCCACTCCCAATGTCCATGCTTCACAGATGTAAAGAAGGACAGAGCGAACTGATGCACAGTACACGCATCTTCTGATAGACAGCCGGATATCACGTCTACGCTAGATTTGACGTAAGTGGAAAAATGCTACATAAGCCTTTTTGAATGGGGAAAAATTGTCAGGTTGCATTATGGATGCCATGTAGCTCTCTAGTTATAACTGATATAACTATCCAAGCAAATGTCTTGAAAACTTATGTAATGCACATAAACGGTTTTCTTATTTAGTTAAAATTTCACTTACACTGTACAAGTCGTTTACTGAGGCCAGAGAATGTTTAGGTATTTTAAGGATACCTGAGATTGTTAAGCGTTTTAAGTCACTAAGGGATGTGCTTTTACTAGTTCAAGATGAAGGTGCACGTAACCTATACACATTTAACAAACCATTTGTATTTTGGTAGGTTTTCTATAGTCAGTAAAATTAGGGAACAATTATCTAAGCGTATGTAACAATAAAACTTGGGATACACAAACATCAAAAATAATGAATATAGAAGCTAACCTTGAATATATTACCTTATCAAAATATTAAAAGAAGCAACGATGAGTAAAATCAGCATGTCCATTCCCTCCTACCTGTCATTGTGATACTTCATTTATTTGTTAGGACTAGTGTGTGGCGTCACAGTTCATGTTGTACTACTAGTTACTTAACATTAAGTCAGTGTCGGTAGTTCAGGGATGGAATGCTCGCTAAACACGTATGTGCTCCGGGGTTCGATTCCCTGCCGACATACCTTCCAACCTCGTTTAGCTAGTGGTGGTTCCCCTGCCGGTGTGCAGGGAAAGTCTAGGATGGGACTAGAAATCACACCCTGTGAAAATGAACGTCTCTCTACTGAAAATCAGAGCTCATGCTCAAAGCCCTACGTTTCACTCGGAACGCAAAGGAACAAAATAAAAGAAACATCGAAGGTTTCAGAGTGGAACTCGTATGGCGAGTGAAATGACGGAGACTGTGTGAGTATGAAGGAGATGACAGCTTTTGGGCAATCGTGAAACCAGGTTAATAGGACTGGAGATAAAAAAGGATGAAGTGGAGATGTACTGCTGAAGCCGTATGTTCCATTTAGAACCTAGGGGAATAATACATATACATACCAAAGATAACTTTAATCACGTGAAAAGCTACTCAGAATATTTCTAAATTTACTTTTGCCGACTTGTACTATTAGAAACCTTATCTACAAACTATTTATTCCCAGTGGTATTTAATTAACTTCTTTGTAATAAAGAAGCCATAAAGTGGCTTTCCCTGTGCAATTCCTTTTTTTCGAAAGTTTTTCTGGATTATATATAATGACGAAAATATCCTCTTTCTTGATATCTTAGATGCATCCGTCTGTATTAATGACAGACAGACTTAGAAGTAAAAGACAATCTAAAAATAGCTTAGACAAACCGACATTCTATTCTCATGATTAATTCATATGAATAAATTTATTACTCTAAATACAACTAGTTATGAATATCACTGAAGCTAAGTAGTGTCCATTAAATCTTATTTGAAAATGGATAGGTAATTCGAATTCAAGTGTGACCTGAATGTACTGGATTCTATTATTCCTAATGGGGTCATGGGTTAGCCCTACTGTTTGGTTTTTGAGCGATTCTCTTACTGATTATCATTATTGTTTCCTTTAATTCCTAGAGGAACATAGGGCTTCAGCCGTGCGTCTCCATTGCGTTCGGTTCTCTGCTAGGGTATTCACTTGGCTCCAAGTCTGCCCACACGCTTTCATCTCCTCTTCACATGACCTCCTCCAAGTCAGTCACCCACGCACTGACGACCAACTCGCCGCTTCCTTTTTGGGGTTCACTTGAGGTTTCCTCAGAGTATGGCCAGCCAATCCATCTCCATTTTTTCCTGCCTATTTGTTTCACAGTCGGTTCCTGCTGAGTTAGTTCGCTCATTGCCAGAGATCTCTGTTGCTGATCTTTTCTGGCCGGCCATCTGATCTTGAGTGGTATTGAGCGAAGACAGCTGTTAATGAAGGTCTGTAGTTTGTTTGAGATGCTCTTTATGACGCATAGTGCAAGTCTCTGATCCGTATAGTGAGTAGCACTGACTTCACATTGGAATTGAAAATCCGAATCTTATTTTTCATGTTGAGCGCTGTTGACCTCCACACAGACTTGACAATGATGAAAGCTTGTTTTGCTTTTCCGATTCTTGCTTTGATATCCTCGGCAGTTCCGCTGGCCTGTAGTTGAAACGATGCTTCTTAGGTAGGTAGTTAAAGGAGGTTGTTTCTTTCAGGTTTCTTCCATTTATGCTGATCGTTTTCTGTTGTTGTTACTGTTGGTGGTGTTGCCCAGGAATCTTCATCACCTTTGTTTTCTCTATGTTCACCTGAAGTCCTATCTTTTCCGGATGCTTCTTCTGCCAACTTGTTGCTTTTCGCTTGCATATCTTCCAGTTTGTGGGAAATCAGACATATATCATCGGCAAAGTCCGATGCTACCGATGCAATTTGTTAATGAAGTCTGTTCTGAGGTCATTCCCATTCCAACAAACTTAAAATCTTATATCAGCTTACTTAATGCTGTTAATGTTTAAATCGAACTTCGTTATGTTTACGTAACCACCTTTATAGAGGAAACAAGCGGTGATTTTAAAGCAATTACGACAGCAACTGAAGTGGATGTGTATCTTTGACGTTGCTGATACACTTCGAAAATTTTAGCTAGAAAGCACGAAGTAAGAATACGAATAATATGCTCCTAAGAAATGAATATAAGTATTTAGCAGGATGAATGAAAGTCACATAGTGTGTGTATGATCACCGAAAAGCAAGGAGCATTGCACACCCACGATCCCACCAGGGACCGAACAGGGGACATTCAAGTTACCAGACCAAGCTGGTTGACCATTTAGCCAATTGTGCTGAAAATCAATGACCTGTGAATTCTAAATTTATCAGTTCATGACACAGCACTACCCTCACCAATGTCTTCGATGAGCATCCACTTCAAATTGAAGTGGTGGACTCCACTGGTCAGGACTCCTCACTGCAGCTTCAGGACATTCATCCAGTAGCCACCAATGAGCTGAAGGTTGATATTTAGATTGTAGGATTCGCGAGGATTTGGATTAATTTCAATCGCTAAATTTCGTCATTAAGTGCACGAGCTCCTATATGGGGAAATAGGTAGACGGTTCCGTTTTATAGTTTCTATGATTTTTAAACGTATGAAACGATTTTAGAAATTAAGAATTGGAAAAATTGCTTTTCCCTAAAGAATTATTCTTCCCCTCTTATTTTTTTGATGATAGCTTTAAACCACACAGTATTTTTGGTACAAGTATGGAATTTTCAGCATGTGATATCGGTAGGCCAAATTTCACAGGCTGACCATTGATATCAGGTATGCTTCGGACTATGTGCATGATCGGCGAGAGTCCTAACCGCTGTGCCACCGACGCACATTTGCTGTGTTATGAAGGTAAATCTCAGAGCAGGGGAAATGGACGTTGCAGCATAAACCTCCTTAACACAAAGTAAAGCATTCCGTGCTCTTTTGTGCTCCAACAAGTTCCAGATTAACAAATTTGACAAAACACAGCTACCTCTAATACTCATTAACATGAAGTCCGTGAGATGAAGCTTTACAAAAGTTTCAACTGTGGATACTTTAAATATGCAGTAAAAGAGATAAAACTATACGTGTTCATGTGATCGATTCAATCTGCTTTAGCTTTTAGTATTACAGCGGTTACAATCTCTAATTCTGACTATATCTTAAGTTTGAATAAATATAAGTTTAGTTACCATGACTATTGGAGTTATTTCTCTAAATTCAGGTCATTGATTATTTCACCGACAGAAGCTCATTATTCTGTTCAGACTAACGATCCTCAGCGGAATACAAAAGTGAATAATTTTAACACCATGTATGTACATTGACGGCTGGATCTGCACACAGTCTCGTACTAATTTAACATTTCTCACAATACCACTAGCACAAGAAGGTTCATAATTAAAGCAGGATTATTTTAATATTCTACAAAGAACTTCTTTGAGGTCTCTGTTTTTTTTCCTTCACTTTCCAGTGGAACATAGGGCTTCAAGCTAGTGGCTTAAAGTTTCTTAGCACCGTTATTTTCGAGGTAGCCTCATGCCCAACCTTTCCTCTTCACCAACATTATTTCTGGCTTAGCGAGGTAAAGGAGTGCGTCGGCCGGGGATCGACCCGCGGACCATGTACATGGTCGGCGAGCGTCCTAACCGCTACGCCACCGACGCACATGAGGTCTCTGTGGCTTCATTTATTTGTTTATTTATTTTTGTTAGTACTCACCTTAAACGCAGATTTTAAGCAAAGACACATTGTATACTTTTTTTCATATTTAGATACACTTAGCTGAGGAAGCAACAGAAATGCGATCGAATGCTGATGTGAACAATAATGGCAGTGTCAGGAATATGCAGACGACAGGAAACTTTGTGAATAACTATCATACTTCCGGTAATCACGATACAGATCACACGTTAGAGTAAGAGAGATTTTTTTTATTTATTGGGTGAATTGTATTTAATCACTAGTTTAAAGTTTTAGCTTTGATCAGGAATTGAATTCAGTTAGAGAACTGTTGGAAGACCAGGGATTAACGGACAGCTGTTTCTTACTTGTTTGAGAGTACTCAGTGCAAGCTGGTAGTTGTGCCACATAGCCAACTGGCAGAAGTTTTAACTGATGGTACATTGGATTTTGTCCAAGTGTTTGGATAGCACAGAAGTCCGCCTTGCAGCCTGAAGGTCCTGAGTCCAGTTTTTGACGAGTTAATGGGTGCTTACTGTTGAGGAGACCCAAACAAAGACCAAATGTCTATCCAGTACTACCTAGTTTCTAGTGGTTCTCAAACTGAAGTCAATTCCTTTTTTGAAAACCAAAATCACTCAAATCCCTGCAAACCAAAATTTACCAAGTAATTTATCTAATATACTATAATTAGTTAGCAAGTAACTATTCATTGAGGAACAAATGATTTACAGTAAAATGAATTCCCCTTGGGAGTTACTGAAGTGAAAAAGTATACTAAATAGCCGTCCTATTTGTGGTTTAAAAGTATCCTGTACTGGGGATTATAATAGAATGAATTATAAGATTATCTGTTGGCACTGCCTTTTTCAGAACAGGTGTTTCTATATAACATTTACTTCTCTTCTGATATTATTCAAACTGATTCTCGTTTAGTGCGGTAAAAAGTTGATCAATGGAATGTATCTTTATCCCCGTCTGTAGCTTTATAACCCATTTCAAACTTCATAACACCCTAGTAACCTATAAACAAGTGGCGAGCCATTTAGCATGGTGGCCACATTGCAAGCTTGACTGATAGGATTCAGTCAGCACCGAAGATGGGACTTGACACATTACGCTAGTTACTGACTTGTGTCCAATCAAAAATATCCAATACAGTCCTACAGGAGGTCAGTTGCAAGCCTGAATAGCTCAGTGATAACGTCTGTGACACGGGTTCGAATCTCAGAAGGAACACGAGTTGCTTCGAGGTTGCAGATACGCCTTATTGAATGGTGAGTGCCGACCAGCACGAAACTTGAGTCGAAGGCTTCCTGCCGATTGCCTCCAACCATCTAATACCATCATTACAAATCGTTTGACATTCGTTGCGCAGTAGATGACTCTTATAGCTTCTCGAGGGAAATCTGAAGAGAAGACGACGGGCCGAGTTTCTTAAGATGACGTGGAGGAGATGAAAGCCAGCTGAAGAAAACAGCAGAGAGAGATCAAGATGAAGTGAAGATGAGCTGGCAAAACTCTGTGTCCCATTCAGAACCCAAGAGAATATTAATAATAGAATTTATAGGTGCTACTCTTCCTTATAAGAAAGTAAAGGCGCATCCGACTGGTCTGAGTCTGGTTACAACCCACCAACTTAAACTTGTAATACATACACGTATACAATGTGCACCATTTCGTTTCATTTGGACACTACTGCTTTTAACTGCAAAGGAGAATGGCGATATCATTGAAAAGAGACTAAAAGTGCAACAAAGTTCAAATTTACTAACAGTAGACCATTCGATCAATAAGGTGACCACTGTCCATAACAAAATGCTGAGTAGATAAACCTACTATCTGTATAAAATGCTTCTTATTTTTGTAATCCATGTCCATATGTTTCATAGTTAGATTGCAAATAACAAAAATCTATACAGGAGTTGTGTTCGTTTTTTTTTTTTTGTTTTTTTTACTTCATAGTCAGATAACAACAGTCGAGTTGACAGTAATGTTTATTTTGCCTAAAAATACCATCTGTTACTTATGAAGTAAATAAAACAATTGAAGATATGTAAATAATACTGTTGAGAATTCATAATGATTTTAAATGCTTTGACAGGTATAAAAATAGTTATTACAAGACTGGAGACAATGATTTCAACTTAAGTGTAGGCTATTATAGTTTCAAATAAGTTGGAAAATTAGAAATTTGTAGACTTTCGTAGATTATTATGACGTGAAGATGTAATCATTCCATTCCCCATGGAATCTTTGTGTTATAAACACGCAATATCCCAGAAAACGTGAGCGTCCAGTCCAGTTAAATTATTACAAATTGACATAACATAATGGCAGTGTTTGGAAGCTGCATTGATCGGTCACTAGGAAGTAACCAGTGCCATTTGCCTAGTCCATGGTATTGGCACAGACTGGATTCTGTTAGCCGAGTTTGTAATGTGTTCATCATGCTAGCTGGCTCACCGTCGAGGCGTACTCTAAATTGATGTTAGATGGTTGGAGGCAAGCCCTAGTGACCAACTAAAGTATCCTTAGCATCTATCCAGGAGGTCAGTTGTGAGCACGAATTACTCATTAGTGACATATTCAGATGCTACTTTCGGTGGTGTGGATGAAAATTTCAGAGGGGACATCAGTTCCCCCAAGATCTCAGACACGTGCTGATGACGAATGCCAAAAAGTAAGAAATCTAGGTCCAGGGTTTCTTAGTGACTACCTACAGTCATCTAACAATTATATATATATAATCTGACAGTAGGATGATACGTTTTTCTAAATCTTTCTCATATTTTATCTACATTATAATGTATAGTACGAAGAAGGATGATATGACTGGAATAACCAGAAATAGAACCGGTGCACAGATGGATAATTTCATGTTCAATCATGGTAAGTTAAATTCTTTTAATATCCAAAATGTTTTGTACTACTTTTGAGCATTTATCAGAACATAAGAAAAACAGGAAAAGGGTTCTACAGAAATTAGTAATCAGAATGTGTATAAGACAAAGTTTCCCTATATATTACTGACTGATGAAATGTGAATATCTGGACACTATTCGCGTCAACAGTTAGTGTTTGCTAGCCAATCAGAGCGAAGTAATCTAACCATCGGACAGCCATTTCGCTTGTTTGGGGTCGAGCTCATCATAGGTGTACTTGATTCGACTCAACTCATGCAACCTAATCAGTTACGACCAGCTGAACGCTAGCTAGTGACTTATTATTATTGTTTCCTTTAATTCCTAGAGGAACATAGGGCTTCAGCCGTGCGTCTCCATTGCGTTCGGTTCTCTGCTAGAGTCTTCACCTGGTTCCAAGTCTGCCAACATGTTTTCATCTCCTCTTCACATCACCTCCTCCAAGTCACCCACCCTCGCACTGACGAGCAACTCGCCGCTTCCAATATCGGGTTCCACTCGAGCAATGGTTTGTCTAGTGATGTCACTTGATGGTTTCCTCAGAGTATGGCCAATCCATCTCCATTTCTTCCTGCCTATTTGTTTCACAATCGGTTCCTGCTGGGTTGGTTCGCTCATTGCCAGAGATCTCTGTTGCTGATTATTTCTGGCCGGCCATCTGATCTTGAGTGGTATTGAGCGAAGACAACTGTTAATGAAGGTCTGTAGTTTGTTTGAGATGCTCTTTATGACGCGCAGTGCAAGTCTCTGATCCGTATAGTGAGTAGCACTGACTTCACATTGGAGTTGAAAATCCGGATCTTATTTTTTGATGCTGAGTGCTGTTGACCTCCACACAGACTTGAGAGTAGTGAAAGCTTGTCTTGCTTTCCCGATTCTTGCTTTGATATCCTCGTCAGTTCCGTGTTCCTGTAGTTGAAACGATGCTTCCCAGGTCGGTAGGTGAAGGAGGTTGTTTCTTTCAGGTTCCTCCCATTTATGCTGATTGTTGTCTGTTGTTGTTGCTGCTGTTGGTGGTGTTGGCCAGGAATCTTCATCACCTCTGTTTTCTCTATGTTCACCTGAAGTCCTATCTCCTCTAGATGCTTCTTCTGCCAACTTGTTGCTTTTCGCTTGCATATCTTCCAGTTTGTGGGAAATCAGACATATATCATCGGCGAAGTCCAGATCCAGTGACTTAGGTGGACTGGTAATATACTGAAGCGAATTCGCAATTTTCAGACTGATTCGCAGTTACCACTCACATCAACCAGTAGTGTTCGAGTGCTACCTAACTACTTATATCAAACAACCAGTAGTATATAACATCATGTGGTTTTGTTTGCTTTCTTGGTTTCTATTAATGGTATCGAGTAGATCACATACTGCGATCTAAATAATTTCGATTTTCAGAGGAAACTGGGGTGAAATTTCACTTCCAATTGTGTAATTTTCAAACCGGAAATCAATTTGTAAATCATGAATTTTATTCTAGAATTTTTTGCAGCCACAACGAAGTTTTAGTGGAACGTACTTCAATCAGAAGGTTAACAGATCTTCTCAGTTAGCCAGTAAAGTAGTCATTCTACGGTTTTCAGTAAAAGTGCAAACAGTTACGAGGATGTCTTCATTCTGTCATTTGTCAGCACAATATTGATAACGCATTTCAATCGAGATTACACTACAGTGATACATGACAAATAGTAATCTCTCTGAGAACTAGATATTTCTAGTTGATTGAACATTAGACCACGTAAATGCTGCTTGGCTGACTCAGTCACTTCTTTTTGGTGAATAAGAATGCAAAGTTTGAAGATTAAGAAATAAGATGACAAGCATCCTACCCAAATACTTTGCTGAATATTAGTCAGCGTAGTTCTCAAGTTTTGAGTATCAATCTAAGCTAGCTGTTTACTTTTAGATGAGAATAATATACGCAAACTAACACAGCAGGTGACATGCGTCTGTATCTTTTCTAATTTTGCTTACTGATCAGAACGAAATCCTGATTGTTAGACTTTGATAGCGACCCAAAACCTGAGAATCACTTTTGTTACAACTCGGTAAATGGTTCTGCAGAGGACCTGTCATAACTCGCCTAACACTGATATAAGAATAAAACTTGTGCACTGTGGTAGAGTGTAATTCCATTATGGGTAAATTTTGTTTTGATAAAGTCTCACAGTGTTATACAGTAATGTTTACTGATGACCAAGTTTCGAGCACAATTTATTGCTCATAATCATATCAAGGTAATCACACGACTTCCTAAATTCATTTATATAGTTCCGTTGTTTTTCACTTGATTTTCACTTGATTTGATTGGTAGTAGTATTTTCCATATTTCAGGTATGAGTGATGAATCATTCCTATTGCATGTGTTGGGTGTAGATTCGATGAACAAGGATTCAGTAATCAACTTCTCTCTCCACCTACCAATATCCCCTATCGTAGCAGATATATTTATGGATAGCTGGGAAAATATGGCTCTTAATACGTTTAATCCTACTCCAAAAATATGGTGGAGATATGTGGATGACACTTTCACAGTGTTAAAAACAGAACATATCTCTAGCTTCTTGACACAATACTCACTAGTAGAGGGAATAAAATTCACATTTGAAGCCGAAAATGAACAAGGAGAATTAGCTATGTTAGATTGTAAAATAAAACGAATAGAAGAAGGCAAACTACACACTAGTGTTTATAGAAAACCAACGCATTCTAATAGATATTTAGACTTTAATTCATCTCATCCTTTAACTGTTAAGGCAGGCTTAGTTAAGTGTTTAACAAACCGAGCAATGGCACTAAGTAGCACAAAAAAAGACCTAAATGATGAAATAAAACAGATAGAAGAGGCGTTGGTGTTAAATAACTATCCTCTAAAATTCATTAGGAAGATTGAAAAACGCCAAAAGAAAAATAAAAAGAATTGTGAAACTAGTAATAATAACATAAATAAGAGAGAATATAAGTCATCTACAGTTATACCATATAAAGAGGGGACATCTGAGACCCTACGTAGGATTCTAAATAAAGCAGGAATTAGGGTGGCATTTAAACCTACAAACTCACTCAGGGACAAGCTCTGTAGGTTAAAGGACCCAGTGGACAATTAGACCAAATATAATTTACAAAATACCCTGCAATGACTGTGAGGTCAACTACATAGGTCAAACTAGTAGGTCAGGGGTAGTCAGATTGTCAGAACATAAGAATTTAGCAAAGGTAAGAATGGTTGACCCCGAGAAGATAAGTAATTTAGAAAAAAGCTCAGCAATTGCAATGCATGCATTAACACACAACCACACAATAGGGTGGGAGAGGGTTAAAATTCTAAAAAGTAATCTAGGTAGGTGGAGAGAGAGGTTGATTACTGAATCCTTGTTCATCGAATCTACACCCAACACATGCAATAGGAATGATTCATCACTCATACCTGAAATATGGAAAATATTACTACCAATCAAATCAAGTGAAAATCAAGTGAAAAACAACGGAACTATATAAATGAATTTAGGAAGTCGTGTGATTACCTTGATATGATTATGAGCAATAAATTGTGCTCGAAACGTCATCAGTAAACATTACTGTATAACACTGTGAGACTTTATCAAAACAAATATCGACTAACACTGTTACACCATGTTTTGAAGAGGCTTGAGAAGCTGCAATAAAAGAGGGCATGCATGTGTTTTGTTTTCAGCTTTGCACACACAAGGCTTCTGTTGAATACCCCGAAACACAAAATCAAGGTCTACGGCTTTATTTCAACTGAATTTCAGAATTTATATATTCAGTTAATTTTTTTTCCAAATAATGGGTATTGTAGTGAATTGAATAATTGGGGACACAATAGTGCGGCATATTTCCCCTTTAAGTTATGGTGAGAAATCCTGACCCATAGCATTGGAAGATCCTGTTGTCCAATAATCATGAAGTGACAAATCTGAATGGTTTCAAGCTAGAATGAAATGTTAGGAATATTTAGTGGTTTTCTAACAGATGTTCATATTCACATTAAGAAATTCTTCAGAATTAATAAACTCCTACAAGTGTTTATATTTTGCACAATGTCGTCTACAACTATATACCCTAAGAAATTTTCCTCCCTAGAGGTATAGGTATACTCATGAACCTTTTAACAATAATAAACACTCTTGTAATTCTATGCAGAATAAAGATATATTTTTATAGTAATAGGATTTAGTTAATGTGCTCGAGGGCAGCTGACCTACTTTTATCTCAATAAGTTGTTACTGAGAGACTTTATTGAATATGCTACTTTTCTGTTATATATATATATACCATTTAAAATAACTATTCCAAATTCTACAGTCGGATAAAAACAGTGAATCAACAATTATTCATCTGTCAGATTTAATAAGGAGTGAATTGCAATTTGAAACACTCCGGAAATCTACATTTTCCAGAATGCATACAATAATGATCATAATAATAATAATAATAATAATCATAACAACGTATGCCTTTTTTAAGGAATTATTTGAACGATCAAGTGTAGTATATCTCCTGTTGTATTTAATATATAAAACAATTAATAATTTTTGACAGCGAAATTCATGTTGAAAATATGACTTACAAATTGTGTGTATAATAATAAGTATTCACTTCCGATTAGGAAAGAATAATTTTTGTCTAACTAGTGTAATTGATGGTTGGTTGATAAGTTAACTAGTTGGTTAGTCAGTCAGCTAGTTAGTTAGTTAGTGCTTTATCTCAAGCATCGTATAAAAATTTCAAGTATTCATTTGTATGGACTGAACTGACTTCAGTTTGCAGGATTTTCATCATGAGCTGACATTAGTTAGAGAACCATTGGAAAACCTGGGAGTACTGAACAGTTGTGTCGTTCTATTTTGGGACTCCTCATCAGTACGCATCCACTGTGGTTCGAACCCAGGACCTTCTCGTTACAAGGCGAGCTCGTATACCATTAAGCCACTGGGACCCGATGCAGGGTGTGAGGAAAAATACTCGCCGAAGACATTGGCTAGCGGTCACGCTATGTCGTGAATTGGCAGAAGTTAGAATTCATGGACCATTGGATCGGGTCCCAGTGACATAATGGTATGCGAGCTTGACTTGTAACTAGAAGATTCTGGGTTCGAATCCCGGTGGGTTCGTGCTGATGAAGAGTCCCAAACTAGGACGAAGCAGCTGTCCAGTACTCCCAGTTGGTTTTCCAATGGTTCTCTAACTAATGTCAGCTCATGATGTAAATCCTGCAACCAATCAAATCCCTACAAATCAACACTTGACTTCAGTTTAGATTGCATTAAGAACCAGTATCAGTACTAGACCGAATGACCTAGCGATAAAGGCCATAGTGTTTAAGATTATGCGTCCTGGGCTACAGTTTCATCAGGGACATGACCATTCACCGTGGGGGGGGGATGAGGTCACACTGAACTGTCAAATTCTGAATAGGAACGAGACACGCTTCCTGGATTCCAATGCATTCTACCATCAACCAGATAAGTACTCCAGTACTCCCTGGTCTTCAGTAGCTCCCTAACTGCTATTAGGTTGACATGCAATGTAACTTGGAACCCTACTAGACTGCACTGTTTTGGTAACCCATATGAATTAAGTATTCATATTATTCTCAGATGATCTGAAGGCGAATGTTTAGTGGCAAAATAGGAATTCTTTAAAAAGAGTAATTTAGTAATTGTTCATTCTTTAGGTTGGTGTAAAACGACTGTTTCTAAAGCTCTTACCAGTAAATTTCCTTTCATAATCATGATTTAAGAATAATTAGCCGCATGGTTTAGGGTAGTTTTCCTCTAAAGAAGATCAATATCAACAGAAGAACTGTTGAAAACCAAATTTTCCACCTTATTTAACATTTGACTTTATCATCACGATATCCCTGATTATGGTGGACTAGATCAGGCAGTTGACTGTGGCAAGCGAGAAGACAGGCAAGCGTTAGAGCAAAAAAAGACTCTAGAATATCTGGGTCGATGTCTAATGCTACAAAAACTGAAGACCTACAGGCGGAAACCAACAATTTTTCAGGAGAGGCAGGCAGTGGAGATAGGATTTCAAGTGGAAATAGAGAGGACAGAGGTGACGAAGACAGCTAATGAACAAGAACAAGTGGTAATCAGTAACAAAAGAGGAAACACGAAGGATGTAACTTCCTTCACCTATCAAAGCAGCATCGCTTCAACTATTGGTGGCTCTGATAAAAACGTTTGAAGCCAGCCAGGACTGCATCAAAAAAGCAAGACACAGCTTCATTATTTCGAAGTCAGAGAGGTCCAAGGATGACATGAAAGAGATAGTATAAGGATTAGAGGAAAGCTAAGTGGCAATTATGGAGCCAGGTAAAGACGACTACACAGAACAGGATGAAATTTAAGTGTGCAGTTGAAGCCTCATTATGAAGTGAGAACCTAAGGGAATAATAATAAACATGAGCCTTGGGACTTCTAATTCACGTAGACAGTACATGCTAGTCTCCTGCAGTCAAACTCTTCTCATTATCAAGTTGACCTGAATGATTTTGATGGGAATTATTAAATCTCCAAGTATTGGTTTTGTAGGGATTTTGTTTGATTGCATGGAGGATTTCATCATGAGCTGACATCAGTTAGAGAACCACTGGAAAACCAGCTGGGAGTACTAAACAGCTGTTTCGTCCTAGTTTGGGACTCTTCATCAGTACGCACCCACCGGGATTCGAACCAAGGACCTTCTGGTTACGAGGCGAACTCGTAGACCATTGAGCCACTGGGACCCAATCCAATGGTCCATGAATTCTAACTTCTGCCAATTCACGACATAGCGCGACCATTTCGCAATGTCTTCTTCGATGAGTTACTGCCTCATCTTCAACCTGCTGTACCCTACTGGTCACGGCTTCCTACTAGAACTGAGGGTTAGCCGCCTGAATAGGGCCAGTCACTAGTGAGCATCAGATTAATTTTCAAGTATTGGTTTTGTAGGGATTTTGTTTGATTGCATGGAGGATTTCATCATGAGCTGCTGAAGAGTCCCAAACTAGGACGAAGCAGCTGTCCAGTACTCCCAGGTTTTCCAGTGGTTCTCTAACTGATGTCAGCTCATGATGAAATCCTCCATGCAATTGATAAATCATTGAAGAAATCATTCTGTTCCAAGTACAGACCATTTGTGTTCAGCTGGTCTTACTTTCATTCAACGGCATTTGATATATAATCTGAACTTAGTTTATGCTAAGTACAGCTAACTTGAATAATACTGTTGAGACAAAGAAATTCTCAGAAACATTTTGATAAATAGTGATAACGGGATTAGCTCATGTACACTTCAGACGAACAACTGAATCCGTTTTTAAACATCTCACAACCTAAAGCGTGAATCTTTTAAACTGAGTGTGCCCATTGACCATCTCAATTAGGGTGAACAGATCTGTCGCATTCACCTGGCTTGTTTCAGTGAATTCGAAGAGTGCTGCTTTTCTGTGAGCCAAATTTTCTGTAGAACATTTCTAATGACCATTCCATCATCTGCATTATACTTTGATTGATTTTTCAGTCAAATAAATTTCAATCTTATCGTATCAATTGAATTTCGCAAATACTTAGTTCATTTAAACATTTTTCGAATACACTTTTTTTTACAGCGGGTAATTTAAACTTTGCATCACTTGAAAGTGATGATACAGCCAAGCTTCAAGGATCTTCACAAGCTCAAGGAAAGCCTGTTTTACCATACAGTTCAATGTTTATTTTTGCACCAACCAATGCGTACGTATTTATTTTAAAAGAAAGGTTTTTTAAAAGTATTTTTTCACTAAATGAAATTTTTGTCAAGAGCCACTAAGCAGCATATTTCGTAGATTAATGGGTTGAATATTCATACAAAATGACAGTTTATTTATTTTGGCTAATAATCCTTTGTGCTGATGGGATGGGATATGCAGGGACTGGACCGGTCACAGGTTTAGTCACAATCTGACTCTAGTTAGAGAATCACTGAGGTGCAGAGGAGCACTAGACAGCTGCTTCGTATTCAGCGGTATTCATCTACCGGGGTTCAAATCCAGGACCATCCTGACCCAAGGCTAGCCTGTAGACTGTTCAGCCACTGGGACTTGATCCAGCGGCCTGTGAATTCCAAGTGCTAGGGATTGACAGAAGTTTGAATCCATCGACTACAAGAATCTCGTAACCTGAAGATCCTGAGTTCAATTACCGGTGAGGGCATATGTACCCACTGTTGAAGAGTCGCTGTCTGGGACGAAACGTCTGTCAACTATTCTCTGATTTTAAGTGGTTGTCTAACTGATATAAGTCCACAATCAAACTTGAAACCAATCAAACCCCAACCTACCAACACCTGGAAGTTGATATGAACTCTGAAAAGTACTTTTATCACTATCTTTTGAAATGATATATTACTAGGATAATCTTATTATGAATATTATGAGTATAATAAAGTATTTCTTTTAATTAAGTGTGGTCATTCAAAATTTTAGCATTGATTTTGGTGAATTGTTTTGAGGTGAATCATATCCAAGGTCTTTTTACCTCATGTTAACTGTACGCTTAGCTTAAAGCGAATGATACTGTTGGACTGGATACACATGCATCGTATGTATTCTTCGATTTTGAACAGTCGGAGCCAAGTATGTTGAGGCGTTAAAAAAACAATACATTCTCTTTAACCGTTATTACTAGAAATGATGAGTAATCTGTGTGAACTATTTACCGGGTGGTGATTGAGGTATCTATTTGATCTGAAGCATGTTAGACTAATCAGCCATGTAACATCCCGATATTGAGCAATGTTTTGCTCAATAATGTTATATTGGATGGACAGTTTATATACTGATGCCTTTTAAGACAAACAACGAACAGCCTATCACAGCAGTATTATTATGCAGTCAACTATCTGACAAAAGTTCTTACATGAATACATTACACGGCAATTAGGAATTTTCTTGGTTCTATGAAACCAGCCATTTATATTAAATTGTCCTTTGCATACTCCTGAGGAAAGAGTCGCCAAGTGTTTAAGTAACGGGCTGTTCAGATAATGACTTACCTCTATTTATATCGGTAAGTAATGGCATACCACTGGAAGTCTGCACACAGAGGAATTTTACCGAGACACATGTCACCTAATAACGTGCTCTGCAACAGAAAGATAGTATTCAATCACCTAGTGTACGAGTATTCCTGACCTCCATTTATTTTTATTCCTTCACGTTCCTAGTGGAACATAGGGCTTCAAGCTAGAGTCTTGAAGTTTCTGTAGTAGTGTTTATTTTTACAGGATGAGGTTGCTAGCCTCATGCCCAACCTTTCCTCTTCAACTAGCATTAGTTCTGGCTTAGTGAGGTAAAGGAGTGTGCCGGCCGGGGATCGAACCCCGAACCATATGTATGGTCGGCGAGCGTCCTAGCCGCTATGCCACCGACCTCTATTTATGGGGCTATAATTATTTCTTTTGACCGAGTGCTTTCCCACCATCATTTTACCGTCGTTTATATTCTTTTTTGTTTTGCAGAATAAGAAGATTTTGTCATTTTGTAGTGAATTTACGCTACTTTGATCTGTTCATTATGATTGTGATCTGTGCAAGTAGTATTGCTCTAGCTGCTGAAGATCCAATATCTGAACAGTCGAAAAGAAATACAATTCTTGAGCATTTCGATTATGCATTTACTGGTGTATTTACAATTGAATTAATTTTAAAAGTGAGTCCTTCATTTGTGTTCAACTTTTATTAAAATTAGAACATGTAAACGAAGAATATTGTTTTCAATTTGATTTTCTTTCTTCAAGCTTTACTTCAAGCTTTATACATAGCTTTATATATTAAAATTCTTAACAAGTGAAGGTAAGTTTGTGGATTAAAGATAATAAGTGTTAAACGACGAGAATACCTCAGTAATAACGATGATTATTACAATAGTAACGATAATAATAGTAAGGTAACTGATAACAAAAGTACAAGCAGTTGACTCAGTTGCCGATAAGAATAATGAAGATGGTATGAAAATGCAAGCAATGCAATAATTAAATTAGGCGAAAATCCTATAAAATTAAAAACTACGTAAAAATAAAGATTAAGTGAATAGATAATCGAAGTTTAAATAAATATCATAAAAGTACGAAAGAGACGATGAATAAGAAAGGGTGAGAAGTTTTGGCTGGTTCATTAGATTTACCTAGGCCAAAGAAAAGAAAAAGACAGAACAAACTTCTTGTGCATACAAAGATTAGGATTGTTCTCTTGAATTCCCATAGCTTCGGCTGTGTGTAAGGGGCGGGTTCGAGTTCTGTTCGAAAGGTTCGATGGAATGTAATAAATAACCTTGATGGCACTTCTTCTGTTCACTTGGTGACCGCCATCATCCATCAAATGAGACAAAATAGAGCTTCTTATGCATTTCGTCTGGTTTTTTCTTAACCATGTAGGAAGATGCTCAGTAATGAGTTTGGTTATCTGTTTGGTTGTTCAACCATACACATACTTTTTCCACAGGAGCGGCTGAAATCGTAAATGCACATAGAAGTGGCACAGCTAGGTAGATTATCTTTTGCTTGAATAATCATAACTGGTTGGCTAGGAAATGACAAAATTTAATATTTTGCCTAAATGTTTTTCGTTATTACTTCGAGATGACAGTACCATTCGAATGCGTATCAGCACACATTTGAGGACACAAGTCTAATCGACAGAAAGAAACCAAACGATATCTCAGCTAAAAATGTGTATGCCTTAGGGGATTTGAAATCGTTTGAGAGTGATGAAATAACCACTTACAGGAACCAGATAACATGTTGGGTCTATGTTGCCAGGGCTGGTGAAACTAACAAAGTGCAAGAACTTCAAACAGTATCTAGGTATTTGAGCTTACAATCAACTTGATGAAAATCAATGCTTTCATAGATGAGTATCATATGCTCAAGAGTTGATTTGAATAGCATTCAGTCAGTTGATGACTGAACGAAAGGATTTTAACATTTAATTTTTTATAATTTTAATTTTATTATAGCTTGATTCCACACAGTATTTTGGTACAAGTATGAAATTTTCAGCATGTGATATCGGTAGCCCAAATTTTGCAGGCCGACCATAGATATCAGGTGTGCATCGGCGGGGGATCGAACCTCGGACCATGAGCATGGTCGGCGAGAGTCCTAACCGCTGTGCCACCGACGCCAATGTTAATTATGTTTAGGACGTAAAATCAGTGTGATATGTTGTCGACTGAAAGTTTTCTAATCTAGCTGAATAGTGCTATCGAGAATGACAACCACAGCATCAAATTTCGATCAAGCCACTCTAACATTGTGAAGTCCTTAAACTCCAACCGTACCTTAAAAAAAGTGCTTTTACTACAGAAGTTTATCAAATGAATTCTCTAAATAGATAAAATTATTTCTTTTTCAAACTGCACCGTTCGAGATGAAGCATTATCATGGTTTCCTTTGTAAATCCAAAATACTGAGGTTAGCACATATAAGCTGGCTGACACCTCTTTAGAGACAACAGAGTCAGATCAAACCGCTAAAAGGAAATCCTTGTGAATCTGTTCTCTGTGTAAATCACCAAAGTCTGACTAAAAATCACGAATGGTTGATTTGAGTGATTTCTAACCACATCAGTAGTATATGTAACTTTTTAGAACGCCTATAATTCATCATTGAAAGAACATTTATCGTCTATATCCACCACGGAAGGAGCTCAAATACTTTGCATTAATATTTATATGAAAGAAAAAGAGGTTGATTATGGTCTAGAAACAAGGATTCCAAATACCCTTCAAAGTATAAGCGAAATCATGTGGATTTTGTCTATTTCTCTTGTGTTAAATAATAAGAATGACTGCATGATTTATTGATGAAACATTTTTTATGCGACTGTGATTCTTGCTTTTCTTCCTTCATTAATTATGTATGAATAACATTTTTTTAAAATCTTGTAATGAATTAATTATTTTTTTACTGACTGTGTACCCTTACAATTGCTCAATAAATTACAATTACGCGACAACCATATTACAACTTAAGAATAAGTCTATTGAAATGCAAAGAAATGCCAAAGAACGAATTATTATTAGTAGTGAATATAATATGCAAACTAATCTAGCGCTAACTGCGTTGATCATATTATTATTCCTTGTAGATTCTGAATGAAACATATGACTTCAGCTCACATCTTTTATTTTTATCCTCTTCTTTGCAGTCGTCCCTTAGTTGGCTGCACAATTGTTCATAAGCTCCCATCTTCTGCTGACACCATCTCCTCTCTTTGTCACTTTCGGACCCATTCCCATCTCGTCGTTTCCCAATGGGCTTCCATTCGAGGGCCTAACGCACGATGTCAGTTAATGGTCTCCTCGGATTGTGTGTCTAGTCGGTCTCCACTTTTTTCGGAATGTTTATTGGGCAACTGGCTCTTGGTCAGTTCTTCGCATTTCAAAGTTACTTTTTAGCATAAGTTTAAACCCTGGGCACTGTGGTTGTATTTTGACAAATCACACAGTGTTGTACAGTAATATTAACTGATACCGAGGTTTCGAGCACAAACTATTGCTGCTCATAATCATATCAAGTCACTCACACAACTTTTTATTTCATTTATGTACATGAGTAAAATTCATTAGACATTTCACTAAAATCAATATAAGATAAAGTACATCTAGAAATAATATTAGTGTTATCAATCAAATACAATCAAATGGGAAATAAGATGCTTTTATAGTAAAAATAAGTAACTTGTTAGAATGTCATAATGTGAATTGAATACATTTTAACGTTATTTATTATCCTCTGATTTGACTGGTGGTAATAATATCTTCCATATCTCTGGTATTTACGTTGAGTCACTTCTATTGCATGTGTTGCGTGTAGACTCGATGAACAAGGATCCAGTAATCACTCTCTCTCTCTATCCACCTACCTAGATTACTTTTAAGAATTTTAATTCTCTCCCACCCACCCTATTTTGTGGTTGTGTGTTAATGCATGCAGTGCTATAGCTAAGTTTTTCTCTAAATTACTTGTCTTCGTGGGATCAATCATTCTAACCTTCGCTTAATTCTTATGTTCTGATAATCTCACTACTCCTGATCTACTAATCTGACCTATGCAGTTGACCTCACAGTCATTTGTGCTCGAAACATCATCAGTAAATATTATTGTATAACACTGTGTGCTTTTATCAAAATAAAAATTTATCCATAGTGAAGTTCCTGGTTGCTAATATTTTCCGGCTGATCATCTGATCTTCAGTATGGAGCAAATGCAGTTGTTGTTAGAAGTCTGAAGCCTGTTAGGAATATCTTTCGCGATACGTGCGCTAAGTCTGTAAACCATATAGAGGAAATGAATGAAATTAAAGTTGTTGGTATTAGATGGTAATCGGCAGGAAGCCTTGCACCTAGGTTTCGTGCTAGTTGGCACTCATCAGCAAGGCGCATTTGCAACCTTGAAGGAACTGATGTCCCTTCTGAGATTCGAACCCGCGTCACCCAATGCTGCAGTCAGAGACATTACCACTGAGCTATTCAGGCTAGCGATTGACCTCCTGTAGGACTGTATTAGATATTTTTGATTGCACACTAGTCATTACGCTAGTTACTGACTAGTGTGCAATCAGAAATTAGAGTTGTAAATCCGAATCTTGTTCATTATGCTGAGTGTAGCAGATATGCACATTGATTTTGGAATAATTAATGTCAGTTTTGATTTTCTGATCCAATCCCGACTAGCTTCAGTAACTTTTTCTGTGCCACCAGTAACTGAAATGATTGAGCCTGTATTAGTGATGATTGATAGTGGTGGCTTCTTTCGAATCCATCCTTAAAGCACAAAAAATATAGTTCAAGAAGTTTTATACTTAAATCTGGTTATGCTGAATTAAGCAAGCATAGCAGGTGATTATACGAGATGTGTCTGTTCACAGGCTGATCTCTAACTGAAGGTGAATTAAAGTTAAGACTGAGACCTTGGTGCTAAAAAGGAATTTATACAAATTAATCTGTGGTATTCAGGTGTTGGTTTGCAGGGATTTGATGCCCACACACTAGGGACTAGCCCTATTCAAGTAGGTAGTTATCTGAGGTCTAGCGAGAAGTCATGGAGTACAGCAAGTCAGGTGTGAAGACAAATACTCGCCGCCGATGACATTGGCTGGTGGTTGCGCTATATTTTGAATTGGCAGAAGTTGGAATTCAAGGGCCATCGGGTCGGGGCTCAGTTAGAATTCATGGGCTGGCCAATAGATCGGGTCCCAGTGGTTGAATAGTCTATGATCTCGTCTTGTTTCTGAGAAGTCCAGTGTTTGAAACACGGTGGATGCGTACTGCCGATCAGTCCTAGAGTAGGAAGAAACAGGTGTTTCGTATTCAATGGTTCCTAACCGATGTCCACTCATGATGAAATCCCTTAACTAATCTCTGGTAATAAATCTGAAACTTATGCTTGAAACATGTAGACTGAATAACACATCTCAAGGGGTCATCCGGTAAATTTCATGTGGCTTGGTTTAACAGTATTAAACTCGAAGTCAACAGTTAAAAAGTGAAGCTGTAAATATGTGTCCTAAGATGAATGTATCACTTTCAATTGATGAGAACAACTGAATGATCGAACTATGTAGGTTTCTGTATAGGGAGAACTATTATGCACTCCTGAGAGCTATTGAATGGCAAGTTTCCTGCAAAGTGAGAATTTCTTCCGACAAAATTGGTTATATTCAATTGTGGATAATAAAGACTGTGACACAAGGAGACCGAGAGTTTTAGATATGTGCACAAATTTTAGTTATCTTTAAGGTTTACTTTTGGTTTAAGTATGTAAAAACGGGTTTACATTATTGACGCCAGTTACGACCACTTCAGAAAACACTATAAAGCATAATTTTCACCTAGAAGCTCCCTCTTTAATAACCTTGAATTAAGGCTATGTGAAATAATCGTGAAACAGTTATTAGTGTTTATTCTGTGACCAGATATTAATAAATCTTTTTGTTATGGTTGATGCTAGATTTCTATCCATATAAATACGCCTGTTTTCCTGGACGCTTCAGTGTCTAGGCAGAACGACGGAACAGTAAAGTAATTGAGGTTCCGCTAGCAGATCTACATCTGATGATATTTTCATTTCAGAAACTTTGTTTCTATCCAGTGCAGACGTTTCCTAACAAAATGTTTATTACAAAAAGTGAATTCGTCTGCACCACTGAGAATGCTTTGAGTTAAATCACCAACAGTTTCCAGCCATTGGCTTTTAGCGTTTCAAGGACTTCAATCAAGCAGCTTACACCACCCTCTAAGTGGCCTAAACCAATTACCAAAGACTTGATTAGTACTCAGTTTTCATTTGATCACTGCTAACTCTTTTCAAACCTAATCCAATATCAGCTAATATTAGTCGACAAAGAAGGCGATGGAGTAACATATGCAACATGTATCCTAGATATTAATTGATGCTACTTCACAACCACATCAGTCTGTTTCCCCTTCCTACATAATTCTGTATGCTTACCATAGGTATTACTCATCATATTATATAGTTTTCAAATGGAAAAGGGAATGTAGTCACTGATGGTCAAGTAAAGTTTTAAGAAGAGAGATAAATTTCCTGGGATGGTGGTCAGCACATTAGCTATCACAACACTTTATTGGATTTCGTAATAAAAATATACGAATAAAATCTACCAACGAAGCAGGGACTGTACAGAAACCTGTGATGCGTGGCCTAAATGCTCCTAAAAGCTCAAATAGACAACAACAAAAGACGAAAATAGACAACACTAGTTCGCATAACACGTCTTCAGATAGACAGGTCCTTCATTCTATTGACTGCCTAGCACCAGCTATGAGCAGTGGCACCCTTTTCTTCAATTTGACTCTATCCATTATCAAAACGAGAAATTCTAGTTGATTCACTGGTACAAAGATAGGTGGACAATTACATACCATCTACTGTCATACCTACAGGACGAAACCACGTCCAATCAGAGTAGAACAGAATCGAAATGAGGTGCCGACTGAAGTACATATCGTTTATCTATTTATTTTAAAGCAAGAGTAATTATTTACAAAAAAGTCAATTTTTTAATCTTTCTTTCGATGAATTTTCAAATGCATAAATATATTTTTTTCAACTTTTCTATTCAAAGGTCATTGATTTAGGCGTTGTACTACACCCTGGTTCATATTTTCGTGATACATGGAATATACTAGATGCAATTGTTGTCTTCTTTGCCTTAGTAGCTTTTGTAGTTAGGTAAGTTGATTTTTTATGTGGAGCTATTCGACATCATGATTTCTATCTGTTATTTCATTTCTTTTTTCCTGTTCATTGTCTTCAATATTGATGAATAGACTTATAGATTTTGTTTGAATACAGCATCGTTTATTGAGAAAGAAAGAATCATCTGAATTCATCTACTTTAAATTATCTGATCTCTTGTTTATCTTTGGAATAAATTTCCTTTTTTAATTATTGTTGTTGAAAGTCAACTTCCGCCAGTTTATGCATCCTCCTTTTTTTCGTTTACATTGTGTTTGACAATTGTATCAGATATAATTAATGCACAAGTGTATAGAGTTTGATATTCTCACAAAAGAAAATAAATCGGAAACCAAAAGAGATTTTGCTTGTGTGGAGACAAAAACACTCCGTGTAAAACGGACTTCTTTTCATTAAGGTTACCGTTGGAGTCGACTGTACTGAGAATAATGCTATCTAAGGCAAGGCTTATATGCGTCGGTGGCATAGCGATTAGGACGCTCGCCGACCATGCACATGATCCGGGGTTCATCCCCCGACGCACCTTTACTCTAACCAAATAATCTGGTGAAGAGAAAGGTTGGCAGAGGCTAGCAACCATCCTGTAAATAAACACTGCACAAAACTTCAGCCCTAGCTTGAAGCCCTATGTTCACTGGGAACGTGGGACAAAAAGGCAAGGCTTATACCTAAATAATATGTGTAAAAGACTGAATATGTTTATTTTAAATTATGCAGGCCAACCATACGGTGTTTTAACGTGAACTCCTGTGATTGTATTCACTTTCTCATCTGTATTCATCATTCCTTGGTCTGACATAAGATACATGTCCCGTTTAGCCATCCTAATTCGATCATTTATTATCTTATATAGAATATGGAAGACAATAATCATAATAATAATAATAATCTACTTTATTCCCAAAACAGTACTTATAATACAGAATGGAATTCTCAGTATTTGTCACAATATTGCATCTGATTTACTCAAAATATAAATAAAATTAAAAATTAAAACAAAATTAACCGGAGGAATTTGTCCACATTTACGATATGAAGTCAAAAATATTCGAAGCACGAATTGAGATTATTAAATAGAATAATAATAATAGTGAGTTTGTTTCAAACAGTATTGTCGATTCAGTTTGGAAACTTTAGCATGTTATAAATTATTGGATCTAATGTTCTGTTTATATAGTATAGTGAGGGGAAATACAAAATTAATATAAAACAGCTTAAATTATGTCCATACTTATGAAAAAAAATTGAGAGGATTATAAGTATAAGAAATACAATTACAATGAAGTTTGATGTTGTAAGGGTGGAGGAAATTGATTATTTAGTGGTGCAAAGAAGGTTAGTTAGTTCATGCCTGACAATATTTTCATCACATAAAGTACGTGCTAAATATGGTATAGTGGAATTTTTATACTTAGATGTACGTGCATAAATTCTTCTGAAAAGACTTCTTGTTTTACCTGAGGAGACACAAGGTTGGAGCTGCGGGTAGAGTGGATGCTCAGAGTCTGACAAAATTCCTTTAGCGAATTTGTTGCATGACATCAAGTGCCTATCAGTGACAATGTCAACGATATGGCCCAATGGGATACCACTCGTCCTACTGACAGTCTTCAGAGTTCTACGAAGTATGACATAGTCTTTTTTAAGCAATCCAGGAAAGAATAAGGGTGAACAGTAAAGAAGAATAGGTAAAATACACGAGTTGACAAACTGTAAGAGGAGTGGTTGGGTTATGCCTGAGTGCCTCAACTTCTTAATGTAAAAAGTCAGACGAAATATTCTTTTAGAAATCGCTAAGACATGGGAGGATCAGGATAGGTCAGAAGAAAGAATTAATCCAAGATACTTAACTTCAGACTGGGTTTCTATATCAGTATCATCAATTTTGCAAGGGTCATAGGAACCAAAGGCTTCATTTAACTTTCGTTTACATCGGAAACTGAAATTGACAGTCTGACATTTGGAAGGATTTAGTTTAAGGCCGTTAGACGAAGACCATTTGCTAATTCCTGATAGAAAGCTGTTCATCTTAGTACAGTCTAGCTGGGAGTTAACAGACATTGAAATAGTTAGATCATCGGCATACTTAACAAAGTTCATTTCATCAGAGTGAGGCAAGTCATGCAAGAAGAAAGAAAACAGAAAAGGAGAAAGGACAGCGCCTTGAGGGACACCAGCCTTAGTAAGCAACGAAGTGGACGACTTTCCCTGACATACAGTGTACTGATTTCTTCCTGAGAAATAAGAAACATAACCTCCTTATTTAGCTCTACATACATATGTATATATATAATGTTTAAAAAGTAATCTCTATTGATAATATTAATGTATTTTAGCGATACTGAGTTGTTATAATCAATAAAATTACAATTGAGAAGCATCTACAAACGAGAATAAGAGTAAAAAGGTAATGCTAGATAGAGTATCAGATAAAAATAAACGAAATTTATGCGGCAATTTGAGATGGTTAGAAAAACTGATGGTGGCCATGATTAAGACAAGGTCTGAATGAATTTCTTTTGAACACATAAGTTAGACTTCTGAGTGTGGGTTTTAACGACTTCAGCTACATATAAAAGATGAATTACTAAGAGAAAATTGAGATTAGTCGGACTACAATGTGCGTCAGTGGCACACGCCTCATGTGGTTCAGGGTTCAGTGTCCGGCTGACGCACTCCTTTACCTCGCTAAGCCAGTAGTAAGACTGGTAAATAGGAAAGTTTGGGCATGAGGCTGGCAACTTAATCCCGTAAAAATAAACACCACAGCTACCGAAACTTCAAGCCTCTAGCTTGAAGCTATATTTTTCACTGGGAACGTAAAGGAATTTTAAAAAATAAATAAGCCTTATTGATATCGACTTTGTGTTCAGTATCAGCAAGATGAGGGTGAAATGGAGCTGTGAGTAGATCTTTTCTGTCCATTGCTTAAACACGCAGCGTGATGTTTAGAAATCCGATGATGAACACACCCTAGTGGTAATACACTGAATGTGACTGGCTCCACATGAGCTGTCAAATTTGATATTATATGTTATGCATATTATAAACTGACATTTATATTTCGGTCTGAGGATGGGTGGTCCTGTACCACTTTGCATTCTAAATAAAACGTAGTCGGGTAGTACGCTATCACATTTTACCCTAGCCCTGACCAGTTCGTCATCGAACGAGCCGGAGGGCCTTCCCAGTTAGCTACAAATGCTGCATCTGCTTAGCACCCATGCGTACTAAATGTGCACTGACGTACCTCTGGAGATGGGATCCCGACCGCCGATCAACATGCCGCTGGCTTACTCACATGTTCTTGTGAAAAGCCACGTTAGGTGTAACATAACATACTAAAGTTTTTACACCATCCTGATAACCAGGGATGACTTGCAGCGCCAATTAGATCCCCAGATGAAGCTGAAAAGCCAACTGTATACCAGTCACCTGAGCTACAAAGCTACACTTATCAATTTACCTGCAGTTAATAAACAAGTATACTAGGCTAAAGCACAATATTTTGGGAGAAATAAATAATGGCCAAGCTTTCGAGTTAATTATGTAGCAAAAGCGCTCACTGGCGATAAATTTTCTCCACGCTCGTTTAAAAAGAGGACAGTGTTGACTACCGATAGTGATTACAATGCCCCAGATTACAAGTCAGATAAGTCAGTAGACACTGACTGCATGAAAATGAAAGATTTATAAATAAATATATCGGTTTTATATTTCAAGTTAGACCATAGGCTGATTCCAGTTAGAAAGAGACACTGGAAACCAGAGAGTACTGAACATCTGTTTCATCCTAGTTTAAGACTCATCGGTAGTGTGTACCCGCTGGGTTTCGAACTCAGGACCTTCCAGTTACAAGGCAAGTTCGTAGAGCATTCAACTTCTGGGGCCCGATTCAGTGGCCATGAACTCTAACTTTTATCAATTCGTGATTTTAGCGCGACCACAAGCCAATTTTATCGGTGAGTATTTGTCCACACGCTCGACGGGGTGAACCCCACTGGTCACGACTTCTCACTAGAAGATTTCCAGGAAACTTCGTCCTTAGCCACCCACTAGCGAGCATTGTGTTAATTTTAAAGAGTTGGTTTGACCGGTGGTTGCGTACTACTGATGATCCCCAAACTAGGACAAAATAGCTGTCTGGTACTCCCTGGTATTCAATGGTTCTTTGACTGATATCAATCCGTGGGCAAACTTGAAAAAGACAAATCAAATCCCCCTACAAACCAAATCTTGAAAAAAGAAGATTTCATTTTTACTGAAGTAGAAGAAAGATTTAACTTATTGAGGCTGAAAATAGTCCGTGTAATATTGAATTTCATCGTTGCATAACTCTTATTCTCTTTCAGACTTGTCTGCATACTTGAAAAATGCTGTTAAGCTAATATTTCAGAAAATTCTTTTTTAAAAGATGTCTGAGAGTTGTCCTTCTTCAAAACGTATGGGACAGTAAAAGTTCTTTTCGTGAAGCACTTCACGTAAAAGTGGACAATAATGTATATTTTTCTCCACTTACTCTGACTACAGAATTAATTTTATAGAGTTATTTAAGTTTGTTTATCAAAAATAAGTGTGTTGAAAGATCTTGAGGAAAATAAATGGACGCTTACATATTTCCCTAATCATATCCTATCAGTCAGTGCTTGAAAATTCAGTTATTCACAGTATGACTAGTTTAAACAACGGTGTAAATATGTCCGCTGATAGTAACATATTTCCACTTTACTTGGCCGTCGTATGCAAAGTTCAAGTTAAACCATTTTAGCAAAACCACCAACACAACAAAACGCTCACTATTAAGTGACCACGGGACGACGTTATCTGGAGTCCTGATGAGAAGTTGTGACCATTGATTGAGGTCTCCCAGCTGTTGTAGCGACAAGGACATTGGCTGCCGGTGGCGCTAAAAATCGCGAACTGACAGAATTTAGAATTCATTTGGCATCATATTCAGTTGTAGTCGATAAATGGTTAACAAGCTCGTCTCACAAGGTAAGGCTCCTGGTTTCGACCCCTAGCAACACGTGGATGAAGAGTCCCAAACTTGGACGAAACAGCCGTCCAGTACTCCTTGGTTGTTAAGAGTT